ATTTTAAACCTTTAGCTTAATTACTAAAGAGAATTATTTTTTATTTAATTTATTTTTGATTTTGTTTTGATTGCATACTATTGTACGGTTGATTGCATACTATTGTACGGTTTTGATTGCATACTATTGTATGGTTGATTGCATACTATTGTACGGTTGATTGCATACTATTGTACGATTGAAAAGCCAAAAAAAATTCTTATAAACAAACAAAATTAACATGTCCGTCTTCGCCGCTGAAATTATGATGCTAATTCTTTGTAAAAATGATTACGAATTAATCATTCAATTCCCATGATTATTGGGACACCCTGTACATTCTCTTATTTAATAATTCTTATTTAATATTGTAAATATGTTGTCCAATGAAAGGAATGTAATAAATTTCTGATAGCTAGAGCAATATGGAAGCAAACAATAAGAGTTTATAATGTTCCATACATCGACTATAGATATAGGGAAATAATTCTTTAAAGGGAGAGACCGGCTAATCACCGTATTTGAACCAAGAGTGCAGTATTATTGAGATTCATAACCCAAACGAAAATGTAACAAAAATTCTACTGTCACCGTAATGCATTATCGTTTTATAGATATAATATATCGTTAAAACAACTTGATGTTGCGTTAACGATATATTCTTTCAGTTCAACTCTCTACTACGTTTTAACAATATTATATAGCTTTAGCGATATATATCATCATTTTAGAGATATATATTTTAGAACTATTCCTATTCCGACCTATTGAGCTCACATCGGATTCAATATTATTGTTTTAACGATATGTTATCGTTTATTAATAGGATATCGTTTAAACGATATATATACCGTTGTTTTAAAGATATATTATTGCTTTAACAATATGACATCGTTTTATTATTTTAATATCATTTTAACAATGATCTAACATTACTCTTATTTTAACGATCTGCTATCATTTTGAGATTCTACCATTGTTCCAACGATCCACTGTCGTTTTAACGATCAACTGTAGTTTTAACAATCTACCATCTTTTTAATGATATATAATCGTTTTATCGATCTAAAACCGTTTTAACAATTCACTATAGTTTAAATACAATTTACTTATAGTTTTTAAACAATCTACTGTAATTTTTATCCTCTAATGTCGTTTTAACCGTCCTTTATTTACTTTAATTTTAACGGTCTTCTATCATTTACAAATGATTAATGAACACAAGACTAAAAGAAGCAAAATTTCTAAGATTTAGTTTTTCATCTGTAAGCTGACGGGAATGATCAGAAATATGCATCTTAGCAAAAACTTGATACCTTTACAATGTGGAAATCTCTATTGTTAAAAATGCATCTCTCCCATCCCACAATTTTTGTAGCTCAACCCACTCCAGAATCAATTTAAAATCGTTTTGTCCTCACATATTACTTTCATTCATATAAAAATTGAAGTTAAATGGAAACAAAGAGGATAATCACAACAAATAGTGTCTAAATAAATAGTGAAACAGAGGTTAACCTAAACGATCGAATATAAAAATAAATGGTAACCTTACAAAAAGGTTTTCAAAAATGAAGTCCTAAAATTTGGCTCAGAACAAAGTCCTATAGAAAAAGAAAGGAAACTTAGGAAAAAAGTCTTACTATTTTTTTATTTTATTTTTTTTTTGGAAAAATAAAATCCCGGCCTCGAAACCCAGGGCTTTATTTCTAGTGAGATTTTTTCCTAGTACTTTTAGACTTTTTACCAGATTTTAATTCGGTTTTTTTCCAGAAACTTTTTTAGATTTTAAATGAGGAGGATTTTTATAAGGAAAGGAAATGATGAAATGATGAGGATTGTTTAAACAATAGGAAATGATGATGCTTCTTATGTTTAGGTGTTTTTCTGGAGCTACTATATGCACCTTTTGCCTCCAAACTACATGTTTTCTGGAGCTACTATATGCACCTTTTGCCTCCAAACTACATGTTTTCTGGCGCTACTATATGCACCTTTTGCCTCCAAACTACATGTTTTCTGAAGCTACAAAGCATCTAAAGCCGCCAAAGTCTCATGTTTTCTGAATCTACTTTGCATCCTGACATTAGATACTAAACTCTGAACTTTGTTTGAGGTTGAATTTATTAATTCGTTTAATTTTGATTTCAATTCATTATTCTCAATCTCACATTTAGACATGTACTTTGGAGTTAGCTTTCAGGGATTCACCACACAGTGGTTTTATAGGAAGGAGAGATTACTGCCATGCAAAAATGCACTGTTAATAAAATTTCAAGTTATTCTAAAAAAGTGTCAAAATAAAAAGTAAGGCCGGAGATATTACTTTAACTGATATCTATTAGGGGGGGGGGTTGAATCAGCCCCCCCCCCCATGATTGGGGCTATATTACATTTAGATCATTTATTTCTTTTCATGAATATCTTTCATACATCAGACTTCAAAGTTTGATAAATTTTGATAAAAAGAGTCAATTCTAAACTCATAATTTTGAATTCAGTAATTTCACTTTTTTAAATATTACACTTTTTATTGTTTTCAACGAAAAATAAATGCAGCATTATCCTAGCCTAGTATGGATAAATATTGTGTGTTGTATATGGAATACTCCTGGGAGTGGGACATTCTAGTGCTGGGCCGCGTTCCGTTGACGGTTCTCAAAAATTAACAATCGAAAAATTTAAAAAATTGCAATAATTGTGTTCATAAAAATTTCGCGTGGATCGAAGACGATATAAACGCCGTCACTGAATTCCAATGTTTATTGGGACACCCTGTATCAGAAAATTTGGTTTATTTCTATTTTTGAAATTAATTAAAAAGAAAATATCTTATTTTAATCGTTGTCTTTTCTATTTTTTTCTCTCCAACTTAAAAGAAACATGTTAAAAAAGAAATTCTTAATAAAAAGTATTAATTAAGCCCAATCATTTTTCTAGATAGATTTGCAACAATTTGACCAATCGTTAACGGCAATCTAAATCGTTTGCAAACAGCGACTTGATTAAAAATAACAGTTACTTAATGATCGTTAACTGACAGCTTATTTAACACCTTCAATACTTTTCCTATTTCTGCCCAGCCCTAACAACCTTTAATACTTTTCCTATCTCTGCCCACCCCTACAACCTTCAATACTTTTCCTATCTCTTCCCACCCCTACAACCTTTAATACTTTTCCTATCTCTGCCCACCCCTACAACCTTCAATACTTTTCCTATCTCTGCCCACCCCTACAACCTTCAATACTTTTCCTATCTCTGCCCACCCCTACAACCATCAATACTTTTCCTATCTCTGCCCAGCCCTACAACCCTCAATACTTTTCCTATCTCTGCCCAGCTCTACAACCTTCAATACTTTTCCTATCTCTGCCTACTCCTACAATCTTCAATACTTTTCCTATCTCTGCCCACCCCTACAACCTTCAATACTTTTCCTATCTCTGAGGATTCCTTCTTTACTTCGTATTAGTATTCTTTACCGATAAACTCAATATTGTATTATTGCCAGCTTATATGGTCTCTAGAGCCCAAAACTTAAGACGAAGAAGGTATCGTTATCAAAACCAGTTTTGAAACTCGGGTTTCACGAATGGGGTTAGGCAGTTTTGTGGATATCAACATTTTTGTTATGAAATATTACTTTATTTAGTTTCTTCATATTCTCCATTTTTCCGAATCTCTTAGATCAAAATCTACACAAATGGAAAGACCCCAAAAATAAAACTCGGGAGTTTCGTTCAATGATACTCTTTTAAACTCCGGGCTCTGAGCCAAAACTTAAGTCATAGTACGCGTTATGAAAAACAGTTTTGAAACCCGAGTTTCACGGATGGGTTTAGGCAATTTTGTTATGCAATAATATGTTATTTAGTTTCTTCATATTTTCCATTTTTTTTCGAATTACTTAAATCAAAATCTACACAAATGTTTAGACCCCAAAAAGGAAACTCTAAGGTTTCGTTAAAATATACTCTTTTAAATTTTGGGCTCTGGGGACTTTCTTAGATTCAACTGTACTTGAATAAAGAGATAGATAGATAGATAGATATCATACACATAGAATATCATAGAATGTTGAGACAAGAGGAAGAAAAGGTTTAGAAGCCACGAGCCCCATGTATACGTCTCCGAACCAAGTGTGCCAACCTCTGAGTCCTTCTATGCAAGAACACGAGAAAAAGTTTCTCATTGAATTTGCTTCTCCCAAAAGATTCTAAAGATACAGAATGTAAAAAGTGTCAATTGCTGTAATCCTTCCGTTTTTTTCAGAGCACTTACAAAACGTTTCCACCACAAAACACTCCCAACCACAAAACGTTTCCTACACAAAATGCTTCCTGTCACAAAACGTTTCCTCCACAATATGTTTCCTTTACAAAACGTTTCCTCACATTACATTCCTACCAGAAAACGTTCTCTTCTACAAAACTTTATGTAATCGTTAACAAAAATTTTCATTTATCAAACGTTTCATTTAAAAAGTGTTTCCATTCACAAAATGGTTTCTGTCACAAAAGGAGACATTTTGTGGAAGAAAACGGGAAACATTTTGTAGCAGGAAACGTTTTGTACGGGAAATGTTTTGTACGGGAAACATTTTGTAGCAGGAAACGTTTGTACGGGACACTTTTTGTACGAGAAACATGTTGTAGCAGGAGTGGAGACCTTTTGTGAAGGAAACATTTTGTAGCATGAGACGTTTTGTGTCAGAAAGGAGTCATTTGTGGACAGGGACAGGAAAAGTTTTGTGTTAAGAAACGTTGTGTGGGGAAACTTTTAATGGGGAAACATTTTGTAGGAAACTTTTTTTGGGAAACGTTTTGTAAGTGCTCCATTTTCTCGAATAGAATATAAAATAAAAACTAGATTGACAAAAATTATTAAACATAAGTTTGATGATATTTTCGCAAGCTTTTATTTAGCTGAAAGAAAAACAATGCTGGGATCCCTAAACAAATGATTTATTCAGTTATTTATTAAGTGAAATAATATTTATATGTATTTATATATTTTAGGTGTTATTCTGGCAAGAATTATCAAGTTTATCTTCTGTAGAGAGGTAAATCATCTTTTAGCTAATCAAAATATTTATTTTATTAACATCTTCTATATATAAATTTGGCTTTGTCTGTCTGTTTTTTTGTTTGTCTGTTTGTTTGTTTGTATCCAATAAACGTCAAAACGGCTGAACCGATCGGGCCCAAATTTTTTGTGGGACATCTAGAGACCCCAGGGAAGGTTTATGAATGATCAAAATTTCAAATATTTGTCTCCATCAAAATTCGATCGTCATTAAATTTTTGAAAATTTTGAAAATCCGCGAAATTTTTTGTGAAAATTCGCGAATTATTTTTGTTTTGTTTTACGATGTACACAAAGAGAACATGTTCACAATTAATTTAGAAGATAGGCGCGAAGCGCCCTCTAAGGCTAGTAAATATATAAAAAATTATATTCAATAAAATGAAAGATTGAATGTTAAATTTCGGGAAAACTTTTATTATCAGTTCTTGAGGGACTGTGAGCGCAATATTAAAGTCACCTTCCATATAGAGATCTGAACGCCCGTTTCACAACGGTATCCGTTAAACCTTTTTCTGATCAAGTATAAATTATATATCAATGTTTACAATTTTGAAAACTCATTATTTTCAATTGTGGTTTCTCTACAAAATTGCGCATTTTTACTGCAGGAAAACATTTACAAATTATCATAATTAAACTTTTAACATTGTAATATTGTAACAGGGTGTACCTTCTCCTTGACAGTTTACTGCTGGTATCTTGATATTGATTCTGTAACATTGTAACAGTGTGTACCTTCTCTTTGACAGTTTACTGCTAGTATCTTGATATTGATTCTGTCACATTGTAAAAGTGTGTTCCTTCTCCTTGACAGTTTACTGCTAGTAACTTGATATTGATTATTTAACACTGTAACAGTGTGTGCCTTCTCCTTGACACTTTACTGGTAGTATCTTGATATTGATTATGTAAAACTGTAACAGTGTGTGCCTTCTCCATGACAGTTTACTGCTAGTATCTTGATATTGATTCTGTAACACAGTAACAGTGTGTGCCTTCNGCTGTTTATGTCTATGTATTCATTTAGTCTATGCTATTTATGTCTATGTATACATTTAGTCTATGCTATTTATGTCTATGTATACAACCAGTCAATGTTATCTACATATATGTATACAATCAATCAATGTTATCAATGTCTGTGTATACACGCAGTCTATGTTATCTATGTCTATGTATACAAGCAGTCTATATTATCGATGTCTAGTTATACAAGTAGTCTATGTATACAAGCAGTCTATGCTATCTTTGTCTATGTATACAAGCAGTCTATGCTATCTATGTCTATGTATACGATCAGTCTATGTTATCTATGTCTATGTATACAATCAGTCTATGTTATCTATGTCTTTGTATACTAACAGTCTAAGTTATCTATGTCTATGTATACATGATAGTCTATATTATCTATTTCTATGTATACACGCAGCCTTTGTTTTCTATGTCCATTTTTACAATCAGTCTATGTTATCTATGTGATGTCTATGTATACAAACAGTATATATAAACAAGCAATGTAAGTATACAAACAGTCTATGTTATCTATGTCTATACATTCAAGCAGGCTATGTTAATAAGTTAATGTATGCAAGCAGTCTATGTTATCTATCTCTATGTTTATCAATGTCTATGTATTCTAGCAGTCTATGTTATCAATGTCTATACAAGCAGTGTATGTTATCTATGTCTATGTATACAAGCAGTCTATGTTATCTATATCCAAGTATACAGTGTACACTATACATTAATACATCTTTCACACATCATTAAACAGTATATACTTGTATACTTGTATACCAGGCTAGGCAACCATGAGACTTAATCTTTTCAGGAAAGGAAGAAATTATTCATTTAATGGTTTTTTTCTATACTTTTCTCACATCATAAACTCTAATCTTTCACACCCACAGCACACTGCAGGGATACATCAAGAAAATAATAAAAACAAATTATATTAGCAAAAAAAACATTTTTAATGTGAAAAAAAAAATTTTTAATTTATACATTCCTGTTTTTAAGATGTCTGATTTTTAAAACGCATAAATATTCTTATTATGAAGGTTGAATACTTGATATATTGTATTATAGTGAACACGGAGAGGGGGTGATAAAAGCTGTTTTAATAAAGAATCGTCATTTTTCTCAAAAAGTTTTGAAAGTTAAAGGGAGTGTTTGCGAAAAAATGATAGTGGGTGTAGATTTAATGCGATAATGTTGTGTCTATAAGGAGAAAATTGTTAAAAACGACTCACACCGAAGAACGTAGTGTCCATAAAAATTCAGAAAGATGCAATTCCAAACAAATCATTCAGATATTACAAACAATAGTCATCGATTATTTTTCGACGCATTCGTAAATAGTTGATATTTCATACAATTTTGTATTTTTCATGATCTGAGAGTTACTTTTGAAAACATTTATTCCTGTTTCGAGGATTTTTGATAATGAAGACGACATTTTCATATTTTCCAGTAATGTTCGAAAATCCAGCGCCAGCGAAAATTAATTTTAAAAAAAAATAAAAATATTATGAAATAATAACTATACAATATTTGCGTCGAAAAAAAATTGATGACTACTGTTTGTCATATCTGAATGATTTGTTTGGAAATAAATTGATTTGTTTATGATCCGAGTTGAATGTTGCATCTTTCCGAGTTTGTATGGACGCTGCGTTCTTCAGTGTGAGTCGTTTTTAACAATTTTCTTCTTATAGACGCAACAGATAGAAGTAAGACTAGAAGCGATCATTAAGAGTTTAACAAAAAAATATTTCACGCAAAAGGAAGCAAAGGATAAAAGTTGCAGAAGTATAAAACACAACAAAAACGTTTCCATTAGGGTTACTACAGTGGATGGCTTTTATATCAATACTTAGTGTTTTAGTAAAATAAAAAAAGATGTTATTTGACTGCTTCTCTTTGTTTTTTGTTTATATGTGTATCCATGATGTTTATATGTGAATCCATGATATTTACATTTGTATCCATGATGTTGATATGTGTATCCATGATATTTATATGTACATCCATGATGTTTATATGTGTATCCATGATGTTTATATGTGTATCCATGATGTTGATATGTGTATCCATGATGTTGATATGTGTATCCATGATGTTTATATGTTTATCCACGATGTTTATATGTGTATCCATGATGTTTATATGTGCATCCATGATATCAAAAGTCGTCTTCACTGTATTGAAATATACGACGAATACTGCATTATTTTTAATTGATTTTATAAATGATGACTTATTTGAACTAATAACTAAAGAATTAAAAACTTTTAATTCAAAGCTTCAGATTTAATAAATTAAAATAGCACGCTGAAAATTCTCCAAGAGCCGAAATGTTTCAAATACGAGATTGACTTCAACATTTAAAATCAAAAATTCTGTAATACTGTAAATATTTTAATGTTTGTTTACTATAAAATGTGTGGACCTCTCATTGGCTAAACCTTTAAACTTTGACCTAAATATGAGAGAACGGTTTAACGAAAACGATGATAGCTCTTTGATAAAAGACTCCTAGAGCTGAAATGTTTCAAATTTGAGATTGAGCTTCTAGACCACAAAATGTTTGAACCTCTCATCCGTTTTGAATTATGCGAAGGGGGTTAACTCTGAAAGAACAAGCTCAGCTCTAGTAATCCATTTAAAAGTTATCACCACTGATTAATCTATTGCAGGAGGAGGAGGTAGAATATGTAGAAAAGGCTCCTCCTCCACCAACTAATGATGTAAGTAAAAACATTTTATTATTTAAACGGGACTGTACATGCAATTTCAAGTAACCTTTATTTTGGATTGTAGTTTCTTTGTTTAAAAGGCTTTCAAAATGCGAAGTTAAAAAGTAAATTAGAAGGTAATTTGAAATTGCGTCTTTATTTCATTTAAAAATGTTTATTTTCAAGATTATAATTGTAAAAAAGTTGTCATGAATCAAGTATTTTCGATGCCATCAAAACAAACACCGACTTTTTCAAGGAAACAGAAGAAGTCAATCTTAATGAATTCCAAGAAGTAGTTCACCTACGTAGTCTTAAACAACTATATTCATAGTTTAAAAACTCTCACATTCATTTAAATTTAATTCCAAATCGTAAATATTAATTGTAATAACTTATGCGCTTAGTGGCTCACACTCATCAAGCTCCCTATAAACACGTCAAACTAAAGTAATGGAAATTAGTGGCTCACATTCATCAAGCTCCCTATAAACACGTCAAACTAAAGTAAAGGAAATTAGTGGCTCACATTCATCAAGCTCCCTATAAACACGTCAAACTAAAGTAAAGGAAATTAGTGTCTCACACTCATCAAGCTCCCTATAAACACGTCAAACTAAAGTAAAGGAAATTAGTTTTGGCCACAAACTCTAACTGTTGCCCCCCTATATCTTAGCAACCCGATGTCGTTATAGACCTTTGATATTTTAAACTATCAATTCTGTTAAATCAAAAAGTTTAAGTTTGAAATAACATCAGTTTACAACATCTGGTTGCAAAGATATAGGGATTAGAAAATGTGAGTTTGTGACAAAAACTCAATTCCTTTCACGTAAGATTGAAATCGTATATTTTTTATCATAACTTCTCTTATGGAAAAGCTATTGAGAAGAACAAAAATGTTTTGAATTTATATTATGTGACCGAATAGGTTTGCTTTTCTTACACTTTTGTTTTGAATTTGATTATTTTCTGGTTAGTTTGCAGTGTAGAAGATATTGGTTCGTTTCATATACTGCATGTCCACATAATTTCAGCCTGCTTATAAAAATCTCATCAATTTTTAAGAATGGGTCGATTTTAAAGTGTCGCCACGCCTTGGGCTTCAATTTTACGACTCTAACTCACTTATGCTTTTCTGAAACCCTTTATATGTACATTTTAGCACTATAAAGCACTTGCTGTTAGCTCTGGAAATGCCCATCTATTTTTGCTTGAGAGATAGCAACCTATAAATCATAGTGTGTCCCGTTTCACAATCTAAAATCTTCTTTTATTCATTTAAATTTTCTCAATCTGCCCAAAAGTCGATCCGGTAATTCAAATGTGCAGATAAAGATTGAATAATGAATATACCTGTAAGTTTATATTTTCAATTTTTTCTCAGGATTTACCAGTTGTTCCCCCGGGAGATATCTACGCCGAGGCTAAGAACTGGGCGGGCGAGCTCATTTCCGGTCAAACTAGGGCAGGCAAAATACTGGTTGGTTCATTAGCATTATAATTGTATTCATTTAGTATCATCTTATATTTATTTATTTTTATTATGACAAAAATGAAATATTATTGTTATTTTTATATTATTATTATTATTATCATTATTGTTGTTATTATTATTATTATTATTATATTTTAATTATTATTATTATTATCATTATGATTATTACTTTTATTGTTTTAAAAATCATTAAATCATCTGATTGAATATTTCAGCTGAGTTCATGAAGAATATTTCATAATATAATTTGCTATGACAAATATTATTTAAACATACAATATACAAATAACATATGAATATATATTATATTCAGGTTTTCTGTGTATTCATCCTGTCAAATATCTCTCTCCTGGTTTACTTCAGAGATGCTTCGGAGTAAGTTTAATTCAAATACCCAGGGAGTAGATTTAGGATTAAAGGGACTGTACGGGGTGTACCCTCAAATAATTGAAATTTTGAAACGACTCTAGGAAAAGTATTTACTATTTAGTCATTGTATGTGTACATGGTTTACAGATTCTTTTCTTTTAAGAGTAAATCAACAAGTATACCATTACAAGAGGGAACATCAATTTCAATCAAATTTAATTTAAAAAAAATTAAAAATTAAAAAAAAAAATTAAAATTAAAAATGAAATATCAACTATATATGAATGCGTCGAAAAATTATCGATGATTATAGGTGTTATCTGAATGATTTGTTCGAAATTAAATTGATTGTTTTACGATCCAAGTTGAATGCTGCAACTTCCTGAATTTGTGTTAGCCCAGCAAAACGTCTGATTCCCTGTACCCAGTACCCAGTACCCTCATATTGTGTCAAATCATCGACCACAAAGATATTCTTATATTTCTTGTTGAAAAAAAGTGCCGAAAACCTCCAGTGTATTCTGGCATAGAGTGTAACACTCTACATTAAACACAAAATGTTCAACTAGAATAAGAATGATAAATCCTTGATCAAGGAAAGAATTTAAAAGCTGCCATTGTGAATTTGACATGCCACTCTTTAAACATAGATTTTTTAAATTTTGGGAAATCCATAAATTTGCACAATCTTCTATTGCTTTACATAGCAGTAAGAAAAAAATTTGGGTGCTGGTAAATTAATATTTTAAAATGTGGGACATTCGTTCTTGTTTATGGTACTATGAAGTTAAGCACACTTATCCACAGCTAGTAACTGGATTGGTGTCCAGACCTCATTCCCTAGTATATCAGAAGAATGCCTGCACTCTACTATTCTCAGGCCTATAAACCGTTAGGTAGCTGGAATCTTGTCAACCCTCTTCTCAAAATGAATAAAACATGGATGGATGGATGTGCTGCCAGATTACAACCCCTGGTAGATCAATAGAAACCCAAACAACACCAAACTTTTGGATAGAAAAATTCCAAGATTGAATCGTAACAACCCGATCATGTCCTAGGGACAAAAAAAATCTTTATTAAAAATATGTTAAAGCTAAAACCATAACGGAAGTGCAAAGCCTACAAGTACTCAATATAATATAATATTTTGTTGAACAATATATTTACAATACCTCGGTATGTCGACTTTACCATGTCGATTATAAATCCATCTGTGGCTTAATATAAACAATTTATCTAGAACCAATATATAAATATACAATATATAAACATATAATACAATATGTAAACAATATATCTAAACATTATATAAATGCAATTTATTTAAACCACGACATGTCTCCGGAAGGATTTAAAATTTTTATTTAAAAGCTTTTCTCTCATTTTCTTGGTTCAGGGCATCTGGCAGAAAATACGTGTGTTTGTTAATCAAATTCGAATAGATTATGGACTGGATACCCAAACGGTTGTTTTTCTTCTATAATAATTATCTGCATTGAGAGAAAAAAAAGACGTATATTCGAAGATTTTGTTAGTTTTAAGTTTTAGTTTTCTTATATCGCCTTATTTAAAGAATTTTAACCTCTTCAAGACGCGGTTCAAACATTGTTGGTTTCACTTTAATTATAGTCAGGGTTTTAAACCGCTTCTTGGCGGTTCAACGACGCGGTTCAAACTCTTAAATTTGAACTCTGATTCCCCTAAATTCTTTGAAAGAAAGGATAAACAATTAAACTAAAGTTATTTTGTAATTTTAATATGAACACTTTTTAGCGAAGGGGTAGAGCACTGCATGTCCTATTCGGAGAATACGGCTCAGCAGGTTCATTTCTTTATACATTTATTCATTTATTCATTTATAAATTTTATTCATTTATTCATAATAAATGAAATAAATGAATAAATTAATAAATGTATAAATGTTTATTTCTTTATTTCTTTAGTTTTTCATTTCTTCATTCATTCATTTTTTCTTTTATTTATTTATTTTTTAATTTATTCATTTATTTACATAATAATTTTTTCATTTACTTACCTTTTTATTAATTTCTTCATGTTTTATATATTCTTTCATACATAAATTTGTTTTATTTATTTATTCATTTATTCATTTATTAAATTATTTTCTATTTCTCTTAATTTATTAATTTATTCATCCTATCGTGTATCCATTTATTCATTTATTTATCTATTCATTTATTAAATTAGTTTCTTTATCTCTTAATTTATTCATTTATTCATTTATTCATTTATTTAATTATTAATTCATCTATATTTTCATTTATTCATTTATTTATTTATTAATTCATCTATATTTTCATTTATTCATAATTGGAAGTAAAAGAAATATCAATTAAAACAATATCTATTAAAATTTATTGTTTCAGGTCGACATGGCTTTCAACGTAGGATTCATGATTTACTTCCTAATAAGAGTAAGTTCCTTTCATTAACTTATTGATTTTATTTTTGATCAAATTGATATTTTAATTCGTGATTTACCTATCAATTGGTTAGTTAATTTAATTGATTGATTGATTTTTTTTCTAATTAGGCATCAATGGATTTTAATACTTAGTGATTTATTCTCTGGCCACTAATTCATAAGAGTTGCCTTAAAGATTGATTGATATGTTTCTAATTGATTAATAAATTGATTTATTGATTCGTTCATTAATTGGTGTTATATTGATTGATTTTTGATCATTCATATTGGTGCTTTTAGATTCACATTTTTTATTTATTTTTTTTATTTTCTATCTTTAAAGTTTCTATAAGAGGCCAATGACAAACTTGTGTTTGATATCGGATCATTTGAGTCATTGATTGCTTATTGATTTATTGATTAAACGATGTATTGACTATTTCTGATATATTTTTGATTTCTTATTGATAATAACGTTGGTTAATTGATTAATTATCAATAAATAGTTTGTAGTGGTCAATTACAAGCTGATGATTGATTTATTGATTTATTCATGATTACAAATTTATTGTTAATTTTAGGTTGATTTATTGATTTATTCATTATTACTAATTTATTGTTGATTTTAGATTGATTTATTGATTTATTCATTATTACTAATTTATTGTTAGTTTTAGATTGATTTATTGATTTATTCATTATTACTAATTTAGTGTTGATTTTAGATTGATTTATTGATTTATTCATTATTACTAATTTAGTGTTGATTTTAGATTGATTTATTGATTTATTCATTATTACTAATTTATTGTTGATTTTAGATTGATTTATTGATTTATTCATTATTACTAATTTATTGTTGATTTAAGATTGATTTATTGATTTATTCATTATTACTAATTTATTGTTGATTTTAGATTGATTTATTGAATTATTCATTATTACTAATTTATTGTTAATTTTAGATTGATTTATTGATTTATTCATTATTACTAATTTATTGTTGATTTTAGATTGATTTATTGATTTATTCATTATTACTAAATTATTGTTGATTTTAGATTGATTTATCGATTTATTCATTATTACTAATTTATTGTTGATTTTAGATTGATTTATTGATTTATTCATTATTACTAATTTATTGTTAATTTTAGATTGATTTTTATAGTTTGTAGCGGCCAATGACAAGCTTCACTTCATGTTTGAGATTGGATCTTTTGTTGATTACTTCACAATACCTCCGATGTTTGTGAGCATCTATATGGACCGGACATGGATAGGTAAACCTTTAAAGGGACTGAAAGCAAAATTTCTAGTGTCACTCCATGCAAAGATGGCAAACTCGAGTTACAAAGGTACCCTTAAACTCGAGTTACAAAGGTACCCTTAAACACGAGTTACAAAGGTACCCTTAAACTCGAGTTACAAAGGTACCCTTAAACTCGAGTTACAAAGGTACCCTTAAAAGTTTTGTCTGATTAAGTATGAGTTCAGATATCATTGTTCTTAATTTTGAAAAGAACAAATATTTTCACTTGTGGTTTCTCTGCAAAAGTGACTTGCGAATTTCTACTGCAGGAAAATGAATAGAAACCATCAAAATAAAACCCTTTCAAACCTAGAAAAACGACAATATCTTTCACATCGTTGATCTCATAGGTATCGTTTTAATCAGCAATGCCATCTTTGCATAGGGTCACTTGACATTACGTTTACAGTCCCTTTAACTCGGGATGGGAAAAGTTAAAAAATAGCGGAAAAAATCTGCTAAAAACGGAAGGAGCAATTTTTTGATAAACCGACATTTTTGTTAAACTTTAAAACTTAAAAAAAAAAAATTTTACTTTAAAACAAATCATTTTCAATCTTGACTTTGCATTAATGTTCAATGTAACATGTTCAGTTTAAAAAGAGTAATTGACAAAAGGCTGCAAAACATTTTTGGTTCACTGTTTCCATTGGGTTTTATCAATTTAACGTGATAAATTGTGGAATAACTTTAACAAATTTTCTAATCTTTTATAAATTCAGTGCAAAAGACAAAGTTAGGAAACTTGTAAAGTCAAACAAATCCCCGAAAGTGATTCTAAAGTTGATATTGATGTTGATCCAGCAAAGCTTTACACTATAAACAGTGAAAATGGAGCGTTCACAAATATTTACGCAAATATTTGTTCCAAAAACTGTGCTTCAAAGCTAACTACTTTTAGAAATAGCTGCATTTAGAAATTAAAGCTATTAAGTATGTTCAGTTTTTTTCAAGCATCTTCAATTAAAAAATTTGCTGAATTTATAATAATAATCATGCCATGGGAACGTATTCAGTCTTTAAGGTTTCCAAGATTCCCAGCAGCTGAAACTTGTTGCTTGTAACCCAAAAAAACATTGTAACTATATCTTATTGATTGAAAAATCAAGAAATCTAAAAAAGTATCATTTATAACCTTCTTCAAAAATGTATAGTTCAACACAAGAGTGGCGTGAAGCGCCCTATAATTGTATGTGTTATTTATTTTCCACCCCCCCCCCCACCTCCGGAGCTCCCTCCTCCTCCTCTATACCCCAAAGTTGATATAAGCTTCACCCACTTCACCTCAATCATATATTTGTTTAATGATCCATTCAATCTCAAATATATTCTTCTATTTTCTATGAGCTCTACAATTCCACATTATGGAAACAACGTTGAAGGTAATCTCGAGTCTCAAAACTTAAACAATTTAAAGAATAAAAGATACAGTTTAATTGTTAAGTTTCAGCTTAAATGCCGATTGTTTGTGGCTAAACTAAACATTAACGTTAAAGGGACTGTTAAGGAAAATGGAAGGGGGTGTAGACTGAAATGGGGGAATCCAACAAAAATTGAAGGTCTCCAACGAAAATTTGGGGGATTCCAACGAAAATATGGGGGTGTCTAATAAAAATATGGGGGTGTCTAATAAAAATATGGGGGTGTCTAATAAAAATATGGGGGTCTCCAACGAAAATATGGGGGTCTCCAATGAAATATGGGAGTCTCCAACGAAAATCTGGGGATCTCCAACAAGTCGCTTATTTGGTGCACCAATATAGTATTTCAATGCTTATTATTTTTTACCCAGACTCCATAGAGTTGATCTTCTCTGTATTTAGTTTGCGGTGACGGCCTATGAATAATATCAATGCTGTTAGGATCTCTGTGAAATGATAACAATGATATTTTTAGGTTTAAGATTTTTGCGAGTTTTGAGACTAATGTCAATTCCTGACATTCTTCAGTATTTAAACGTTCTAAAACTATCAACATCCATTAGGTAAACTATCGTTTCAATATAATGGGTGAACTATCATTTCAATATCAGGGGTAAACTATCATTTCAATATCAGGGGTGAACTATCATTTCAATATCAGGGGTGAACTATCATTTCAATATCAGGGGTGAACTATCATTTCAATATCAGGGGTGAACTATCATTTCATTATGATGGATAAACTATCATTTCAATAAAATGGGTGAACTATCATTTCATGTAAACTATCATTTTAATATAAGGGGTAAACTATCATTTCAATAATAAGGGGTGAACTATCATTTCAATTTAAGGGATAAACTATCATTTCACCACGAGCGGTAATTAAACTATCATTTCACCATGAGCGGTAATTAAACTATCATTTCACCATGAGGGGTAATTAAACTATCATTTCACCACGAGGGGTAATTAAACTATCATTTCACCATGAGGGGTAATTAAGCTATCATTTCACCACGAGGGGTAATTAAACTTTCATTTCACCATGAGGGGTAATTAAACTATCATTTCACCACGAGGGGTAATTAAACTATCATTTCACCACGAGGGTAATTGAGCTATCATTTCATGACGACGGGTAAACTATCATATCACCATAAAGGGTAAACTATCATTTCACCAAAAGGGGTAAACTATCATTTTACCTGGAGAGGTTAACTATCAAACAATCAATATTCAAGTTAGGTATATTAGATTATTAATAATAAAATCTATCTGGGACTCTCTCTCTCTCGCTCTAATTCATTAAATTTCGTCTCTGGAATGCTTTAAAAAAATTGAATTCCAAGATAAAATATTACAATAAATGTCATCTCGTTTAGAAATTAAACTTTTAAAGCAAAAGTTAAATCTAAATGAAAATCCTTCAAGATTTAAAAAATTTTATTTGGAGCAAACAATTAAAGTTTTAATTGAGAAACTGAAATTGGTAAAGGCTTAAGACGTTTCTGTTGGAAAAATACTCTCAACTCTTTTCAAACAAAGTTAAACCTAGTTTCAAAACAAACCCAGAAACAAATGGCACAGTGGCACACGGAACATGCAGGAAAAAAATTCATTGTCTAAAAGAATTAAACCTTGAGCTTAAATTCAAATATTATAATTCTCATTTATTTGAAACCTGATTGTGTAAACCTGAGATATTTCAAACTTAGATAGTTTGTGGAGAAGACTCAAATCCTTTAAATCCAAAAGTATAAATTACTCCGAGGGAAATTTTGCCAGTTATATCTAGTTTCTAGCTATAAGTACACTATCTTAAATTATCAATTATTCAAATTTTCAAACTCTCTGTATTTTTCAAGCAAATCCCAATCGGAATTCCGTTGCGCAGAATTGTGCGCTATTTCGCTATAACTGCAAAAAAGGAAGCAATTAAATATTCGCGGAATTGCGTGGAATTGCGCGGAATTGCCCGGAATTGCTTTTCTATCTAAAAATCAATAATTTTACAAATTTATGCAGCATATACAAGAATAGAATTAAATATTTCTGTTGATTTTCAAATAATCGAGGCCCGAGTGTCACTTGTTTCAACAGTTTTTAATTTTTTAGTTTCTTGTGGTTAAGCTACTAATTAATAATTTAATATGATACATTTTTCATTTAATAACATTGGATGAACATGGAGACTTTTTTTGGTTAAAATTGTAAGGTTCGTTTAATCAAAATTAGATATTTTGCTACAGTGAGAACCAGAAAACTATATGGTACAAAAAGACAACATCACAGTGTATTTGATGTGGTTACAAGTTAAACTAATTAGCAACTTATTAAATCACTTATCCAGTTATATGGGTCTGCTTGAGACTAAACTGTCGTCTTCCTAAGCCAGAGTTTTCTGGTTATCATGCTGCAAATGAATATTATAAAATTCAATTTTCTTAGCATTAGAGACTGAAATGTTAGTGTAGTTAAGTTTATGGTATGCCAATACCAAAGTTTAAATTGAATTTTTTGTTGTTGAAAGGAATTGCGCAATAATTAATTGCATTTATAGCGTGCCATAGGGTTTACATTGCGCGCAAGTAAAATAATAAAGAATGGATGCGTACTGCCGACTATTTAAATATAAAGTTTAATGAAACTTACAACATTTCTAAGGTGTATATTGGTAAAGTTTGTTTTTATTGAACTTTTCAATATTTTTATTCTAAAAAAAAGAAAGGATAACGGAAAACGGACCAAAAAACGATCGTTTTGAAAGAATCTTTTTTCGGTGATTATTTTGGATCGTTCTTGCATACAATATCTTTTAGGATAAAAATTTGGCATCGTGTAATAAAATAGCAATATTTATAATAGATTATTTTAATTAAGTTAAATAGATAAATTAATAGATAATTTTGGAATTAGTAAAACTTCTCTGATGTATGTGGAACTTAAAAAAATATACCAAATTGAAGGTTGAATTTTGTCCTCTGCTTTAAATATAACTTGTATCAACTATTTATATCAGTATTATTTTGGTTCGCAGTGTTTTGAAGTTTTTTTGACAGAAATTTTCTCTTTATCGAAAAGGTTCAAGCGCCTTTTTAGATAAAATTTTGTCCCGAGCTTTAGCAAGGGACAAAATATAATCTAAAAAGGCATGAACCTTTGAGATATAGAGAAAATTTAAATACAAAAACTTTATAGGAAGTCGTGCCAAAATAATAGTGTTATAGATAATTTTATGACACATGTGTGTACTTATAAAGTTAATTTTAATTTTATTTCATTTCACTTAAAAAAATATCTTGGAAATATCCTAATTTTTTGAAGAAAATCCGGGAACCAATCAAAACTTTATAGCACATGTATAACAAACTTCATAGCACGATGATTACTTTATAGCACGGAGCTATAATATACAGCTAATTTAACTTTATAGCACGATGATTACTTTAAAGCACATTCATTATGAAACTCACGATGAAATGGTAAGAATGATGAAGTAAACTATAGTTTTATAAAATGCTATTCAGTAAAGTCGTCTTTTATATCTCATCGTATAGTGGGTAACCCTGCATATAGGATTAATTAGAACTTATATAAAAATAATATATAATACAGGTTGACCCAGCTGATTGCTATGTTTATATCTTATCGTATAGTGGGTAACCTGTACATAGGATTAATTAGAACTTATATAAAAATAATATATAATACAGGTTGACCCAGCTGATTGCTATGTTTATATCTGTCTGGTTGTGCTCAGCAGGTATTGATAGATAGACAAAATGGAACTGATTACTCACCTCATTCACTAGTATATGTCTTTGTAGCCTGTTGTTGTAGACCTTTTATTTCTGTGATTTTTATGAATTCTGTTTATCTAAAAAGTCAAAGATTGAAAAAGTTTACATTATCAGGTTGCAAAGATAAAGGGATTGGAAAATTAAAATTGTGGGAAATATTAAGATTCTTTTCAATATGAAAGGTGGATAGGTTTTATATAAAGGGAGTGACTGGCTTGCTTGGTAACTCCGGACCACATGTTTTGGTATGGTAGCTGAGCTAAGAGTGCAGTATTATAGAATATTATATCAGGATTTATTCATAAAAATATTTTATTTGTATCAAATGAAAAATTTTACTTTCTGATTCTACACTCTCGGTTCAACTACCATACCCAGCCGGCAGCCAGTCACTCCCATTCAAAGATAATTGGGACGTATTACCTCATAAACTAGTTTTATTGTAAACAGTCAATATTTAGTAACCAATTTTTGTCCGGTACAAATAAAAATAAGTATACGTACAAAAATAGTTATTATCATAAATTTTACGCCACTGAACACCAATATACGCCACTAGACCAAAGACCAAAGACATTTATGATATATTATCAGACACAAGGTACCAAGGTACCAGACAAGAGACATAAACCCAGGACTGAAAGATAAATATCAAATGTATAAAATTATAATAAACCAGAATGTTTCAGGAATAGTTCATCTTCTGGAGAACTCTGGTGATCCTCCAGATTTTGATAATGGACAGGAAGGATCAGAGTGCTAAATATTATTGTGACAGTAAAGTTGTATGGGACTCACTGTATTCCCTCTTGGTTGTCTTTCTTACTAAGTTTAATTTGTTGTGGCGTCTATTTACCTACAAATAAACAAAGGAATTGGGTCCTAATATCTTTGCAACCCAATGGTTTAGACCATAGATATTCAAATTATGAATTCTGTTAGATCAAATAATCTATGTTTGAAACATCAAAGGTTTACACCATCAGGTTACAAAGACGACTTCATATTCCTTGCTAAAAATATGGGTTTTAAACCAGCAGTTGCATTTCTAAATTAACACAAGAACTGTTTTCATGAAAATTCAAAAAAAAATCAAATTCAAATTTTTAAAAATTGAAATTACGTTTTCTGACGGCATAGTACTAATCACCTAACTGGAAGGAAATGTTGGGAAATATGTTTCGCGGAGGAATATTGAAAATTAAGACATTTGGCCGCTGGGTGGAAGACTTTTTCAGCACCCCCCTCCCCTCTTGTCCCTATTTCATTAACAAAATATACGTTTACATAAATATATGTATACTTTTCATTAATTTATGAGTAGTTTCTGAAACTTCCAAAGTTTTAGAATTGCTATATTTAAAATTCGATGTTGATGATGATCCAAACCTCCTAGAGTAAATAAAATAGGTATCTATATAGTTCCACATTTAGAAAATATATTTCGGCCTGGGTGAACCCTCTTTATGGTTCTTAAGATTTTGTTTATGTTATGAACATTCAAAACAAACAAAATACATTTTTGCTTTTAAAAAAGCTGTTTTTTTGTAATTAAGAACTTGTATTACATCACGCTAGTCTAAAAACTTAATGAGACATGGTCCATGTTAAACCAGATCTTTACAAAGGATTATTATTTAGTTCTAACGATATAATAATTAATATTTACAATGATAATACGTCTTGATAAATATATGGTATTTTCAGTTTATTATTAATGTTTAGGGTTTCCATTGTAAGAACGGTTTTACAGACGAAATATCTCAATCTAAGAGTCAATAAAACCCATGATAATGGCTTCACAGTCTATACTATGGTAGATTACATACAGGGTGTTCACATGATAATGGCTTCACAGTCTATATTATAGTAGATTGCACACAGGGTGTTCAAATGATAATGGCTTCGAAGTCTATAATATAGTAGATTGCATACAGGGTGTTCACATGATAATGGCTTCACAGTCTATACTATAGTAGATTGCATACAGGGTGTTCAGATGATAATGGCTTCACAGTCTATACTATAGTAGATTCCATACAGGGTGTTCATATGAAAATGGCTTCACAGTCTATACTATAGTAAATTGCACACAGGGTGTTCAAATGATAATGGCTTCGCAGTCTATATTATAGTAGATTGCATACAGGGTGTTCACATGATAATGGCTTCACAGTCTATACTATAGTAGATTACATACAGGGTGTTCACATAATAATGGCTTCACAGTCTGTACTATAATAGATTACATACAGGGTGTTCACAAAGCAAGACGCATAAGCACAAATCACTTGAAAACGCAAAATGACGCACAGGAAAAAGGTATGGTTCGAATTTTATTATCAAGCGCCATTTTGATGTTTTATGCACAGAGCAGGCAGGCAGTCCAGTATACTGGTCACGTGATACAGCCGGAAATCACGTGACCAGTATACTGCACTGTATTGGCTGAAGTTCTAGTGACGTAATATGGACTATACGGACTATATGAAATAATATTATCAATTATATCTATTAAAAATGCAAAATAAAAAAATTATAAAAGGAGCAAACCTGAGATTCTTAGGCTCCTGTGGGATTTATTCGTATTTAAAATTGGTTGCGTATTTGTTGAATAAAAATAAAATTTTGGCCCAACTTTATATCAATTTCTCGAGACAGGAACGTCAGATAGATGTCTTATATGTATCGTTCAACGCCTGAGATTCTCAGGTTTCATCCTATACCTCATTTAATTTTTCCTTGACAGTCCCTTTAATAAATAGCACACTGTGATATAGTCCTTCACAGTCCCTTTAATAATTAGCACACTGTGATCTAGTCCTTAACCTACTGGGACTGTGTTTATTTCCTTATGGTCACAATGTCAACAGTAGGTATAAGTAACAAAATTCTAATTACTCTTTAAGAATTGCTACTTTTTATTTGTTTTGATTTTTTTAATATAAAACGCATCGTACCAGACAAGATTGTACAAACTTTTTTATTGATTTTATTTCTTCATCGAAGAAAAAGTGAAAAAAAAGATTAAAGATGTTAATTGAAAAACGTCCAGATAAAGGAGAATAGAAGTCAAAGGTTTAGAAAATCGCCATTTTTTGTTTGTCGTTGTTGTTCTGTAAAAACCATAAAATGTTGATGGTAATATCAACTTTTAATATCAACTTCCGAAAAATTTAAGATTTTAATATATATATAACTATATATTTTATGCACTTTTTTTACCAAACTACATACTCTAAGTTACGAAATAAAAAATCGCTCATTTGACAGCAAAAATGCGACTAAAAAATGCTTATTTGAAAGATAACATTGTGAACATTGGGATTTTAATCTGAAAAAAAATCTAAATTTTATTAATCAAAAATAAATCAATATCACAAATTTTTTATTTTAAATTTGTTCACTAATAATAATTATTTTGAGGATATGGAGATATTTCTTGTGTCACCTCTCTTGGTCGCTCATTCCAGGTTAATTTCTAGAAATAATACTAATTATAATGATAATAATGATAGCAATAACAATAATAATAATTTCAACCTTAGATATACTCACATTGATCCACTCTACCCATCCACCCTCCACCAACCTTAGATATACTCACATCGCTCCACTTTACCTACCCATCTTCCACACAACCATAGATATACTGACATTGATCCACTCTAAACAATCCACCCTCCACCAACCTTAGATATACTCACATTGCTCCAGTCTACGTACTCATTCTCCACTCAACCATAGATATACTGACATTGATCCACTCTAAACAATCCACCCTCCACCAACCTTAGATATACTCCCATTGCTCCAGTCTACGCACTCATTCTCCACTCAACCATAGATATACTGACATTGATCCACTCTAAACAACCCACCCTCCACCAACCTTAGATAAACTCAAATTGCTCCAGTCAACACACTCATCCTCCAGTCAACCTTAGATATACTCACATTGATCCACTCTACCCACCCATCATCCACCCAATCTTAGATATACTCACATTACTCCAGTCTACTTACCCATCATCCACCCAACCTTAGATATACTCACATTACTCCAGTCTACTCACTCATCCTCCACCCAACCTTAGATATACTCACATTGCACCACTCTAAATCCGAAATGTTTTGAAAAACAAGATTTTCAGAGGTTTTTTCTTCAGCATTTTATAATTCTGCTCAAATACATTGTACAGGGTAAGATCATATATCTTCAGAAGGCTATATAATCTTGTTTAATCTTATCATTTTAAATTGTGGTTTCTCTATAGAAGGGATTTGAACATTTCTACTGCATGAAAATGTAAAGGAATTAATCAATTTTAAACCTAGAAAAACAACAATATCTTTAGAATTATATATCAGATTAGCATAAGGGCCCGGCGTTGCCCTTGGAATAAAAAAATTTGAAATTTTTTTTAAATTTTAAAAAAGAAAAAAAGAAATTTTGGGAACAAAATTCCTTTTTTTACCCTATAACCCTTGAGCATAGAGAATAGAATATATAGAGAGGAATTAAAAGAATCTCTCGGTATGAATTTTTTAAGTCCCTTTCAGCCTGAAAAGGAGTTCAAAGTGTACAAATCATGTAAATGTTCACAAATTATATGCAGCAGAGTACATTAATACAGTATGTTCCCTAGACTATCCATTTCAATGTTGAATTTTTTAAACTCTTAAATAAACTTTATAATGAATTAGGTGAATAAAAACATCATTTGATTTATAGTTATAACGGAAAATCATCGTTTGTAAAGTGAAAGGCATAGAGTCTATGTGAAATGATCATTGGTCAATTATGAAACCAGCCTATTTCATAATTTGGTTTTCTTTTAACAATAATTTTAGATTTTCTATAAAATGATATTCCAGGGCCCAACAGGTTATATAGCATAAATATGTGAAGTACACCTGCAGTATGGAAACAGTACAACAAAATGGCCGTTTTACACTTTTTTCTAATAAATTCCTATCTATATATTCTATTCTCTATGCCCTCGAGTGTCCCCAACAAAATTCAGCCCAATCGGTCCAGCTGTTCGGCCGGCTATAGACAACATACATATGCAAGAATGTCTTGTTTTATTATATAGATAAAGGTATCAAGGACGCCGTTTTAATTCGGGTATTGCCATGTTGAAATAACGCATACAGGCCCTTTAAGAGCTGAATTTAGTTCTAACTATTAAACCTCAATAAACTAACTCTTTGATTTAATATTTAGATGTATTTACCAATAATTTAATGCGTGAAGATTCATATTTGATATTATTCCTTTGTGAAAAGTTAAAGTTAAAAGATAAAATAAGGAACACCAATGAGTACCACCAGAATGGGGAAAAAGCTAAAAAATTAAAAATATTTTTTTTTTATTTTCACTAATTTATGTGGGGTTTGAAAATTTTTAAAAAACGTGTTGATTGGGGGAATAACTTCAGCTTAAAGGAACTGCAGTCGTTATTCGTTTAATTTATATAGTAATCCCGTGTTACACCATAGTTTCCTTTAAAAACCTTCGTCTGATTTCTGATTAATGATGAAATGCTTGAAAACTGTTAATTTAATACTCACAATTCCCTCCATGTTTCTGTAACAAAAAACCGCAAGTATTTTTTACGGAAAAAAAACACAATTAAAAAAAATTCATCTTTAATTCAAAAAAAGGTTTTAAAGATTTTAATATTTTCTCTTTTTTCTCAGGTTCTTTTCTTGACTGTTGGATTGGCTACGTTTGCTTCAGGAATGAGAATGATAAAATCTTATTTTCAAAATCCCCGACAATTTGATATATTAAGAAATAAAAATGGTTGAATAGAAAAACGTAGACCTCTAATTCAATATTATCAGAAATCCTAAAAAAACTAATTAACTACCTCTAGAATTTGTGGAAATTGAACAAAAATATATATATATATATATATTATATATACAATGGGTCAATTATTTTTTTCATGATTTTCTAAAGCTAAGCTAAGGGGGGGGGGGATTCATTGAACATAATAATGAACTCATTAAATTGTTTGATCTTGAAATAGGATAATTTATCTATCTATCTGACTAATTCTATTTCCATTTCTGCTAAAATCATGAAACTGTAGATCAGAATAGAATGACAACTTTTCACGTATAAGTCGTCTTCCTAATCTTCAGTTTATTATCTCCTCATTGTAAATGAATCTATATTTTTCTTATATTAAATTTACATCTATGTTTTTTTAATCTCAAGATATTTTTCTGTTGCTNACATAGGGTTACCCACACAGGATGAGACCATGAAAAGACGACCCATATATCTATCTATCAATCTATCTCTAATCTCCATATATCCAACTATAATCTCTATATATTTATCTCTAATCGACATATATCTATTTCTCTATCTGTCTATATCTAATCTCCGCATATCTATATATCTTTCTCTAATCTTATTATATCCATTTCTTTTTTTATCTCTAATCTTCATATATTTATCTCTCTTTCTATCTCAAATCTCCATATATCTATCAATTTATCTCTAATCTTCATATATTTATCTCTCTATCTATCTCTAATCTCCATATATCTATCAATCTATCTCTAATCTTCATATATTTATCTCTCTATCTATCTCTAATCTCCATATATCTATCAATTTATCTCTAATCTTCATACATATAGCTATCTATCTATCTATCTCTAATCTTCATATATTTATCAATATATCTCTAATCTCCGTACATCTATTAATCTATCTCTAATCTCCATATATTTATCTCTCTATCTATCTCTAATCTCCAGCTATTCCTGAGATAATCGAACTACTGGGAAACAGAACAAAATATGGTGGCACTTTCAAAAATGAAAGATTGTAAGTATTTGTTAGATCGTGTTTTCATTATTTTTAAGCTAAAGTTAATTGAGTCTTAGGCACAGACTAATGTTTCCTAATCCTTATATTTTTGCAACTTATTGGTGTAAACCTTTGATATTTCAAAAAAGATTATTTTATCTAACAGAATTCAAAGTTTGAAATATCTAAGGTCTACGACATTGGGCTTTTTTAGAGAAAAAATAACAATTTATTTTCAGGCGCCATATTGTTGTATGCGGACATATTACTTATGAGAGTGTTACTTACTTCCTAAAGGTAAGCTGAAAGTGATTTAAACAAACTTTAATCTTCTAATTCCTATTTTTTCAAGCTGATGTTGGAAACCTTGGAAACCTCTTTGGTTAATAAAAATATTTTATCTCTGATAGTCTGTAATGTTATCTACTCTAAAATATATATGTATTCTATATTATACATGTAATTTATGGTTTCTATGTAGTCTATGTTAATGCTATTTATGTGCTTTATGTTATCTGTGTATACTATGTTATCTATGTACTCTATGTACTCTATGTACTTCATGATATTTATGCACTTTATTTAACCATTGTATTCTTTTTTTCTATGTACTCAATGTTATCTATATACTCTATGTACTCTATATTATATATGCAGTCTATATTATCTATGTACTCTATGTACTTTATGTTGTCTGTGTAATCTATTTTATATATCCACTCATATTATCTATGTGCTCTATATAATCATATGTGCTCTACATTATCTATGTACTTTACTGTATGTTATTTATATGTACTCTTTGTACTTTCTGTTATCTATGCACTCTGTGTTATATATGTACTCTATGTTAAATAATGTACTCTATGTTATCTATATCTACTCTATGCATATATAACAGAAAGTGCAAAGAGTACACTCTTTGTTATCTATGTACTCTATGCTATCTATGCACTCTATATTATCTATGTATTCCATGTATTTTATATTATCTATTTACTCTATATTAGCTATGTACTCATTGTTTCTATGAACTCTTTTAGCTTTGTACTTAGTGTCATTTATGCACTCTAGGGTTTCTATGATCACTAAATTATCCATTTACTTTAGGGTTTATGCATACTGTACAACAAGCATTCACGCACTGCCCATTATATCATGTACTGTAGTTCTCTATGAAACCATGAAATCTTTGTACTCATCTTACTTACTCGGTGTACTTCATGACCGCTCTTTTTTAAACTTACTCTTTTTTTTCTCTGTTACCTGTCTCTACTAAATTTATGCTGTTTACTCTATGAACTAATTATACGTAGTGTACTCTATAACGTTTAAAATGTACAGTGTATTGTATAGTTAGTGTACAGTGTACAGTGTATTGTATAGTTAGTGTACACTTTTCAGGATTTTCTTCATCCTGATAGAGAGAAGGTGGAGGAGATGTGTATATTTCTTCACAGGTAACCCATTCCAACTCATTCAAGAATTCTCCTTTTACAAACCCTTATCCTGGAATTTTTCTTTTTTCCTGCCTTATCCTGGATTTTCTCCTTCCCCCCCCCCCCATCCAGGAAAAAATTAAACCGACTGTATGTCACGATGTTGAAGACGTCAGATAAATATTTCTGGGCTTTTGATGTTCGACAATCGACATAGGCATTTCGGAGATTAATTGATTTTCTCCTTATTCACCCCCTACTGCTGGAATTTCTCCTTTTTCACCCTCTACTTCTGGAATTTCTCCCTTTTCAATCCTCTCATCCCGGAATTTCTACTTTTTCACCCAATCATCCTGAAATTTCTCCTAGTTAAACCCTGCCCCTGGAATTTCTTCTTGTTTCAGCCATATTTTGAAATTTTTCCTTTCTTCTTCTCATTCTAGAATTGCTGGAAGAATTGCCTTATACACCTCTCCTACCAGTTAGAACGTCCATTGCTTTACATGGGCTATCAGCGTAGAACGTACGATAAGAGTAGATTCGAATCTAGCAAAGGAGGAATGAATTTATCGGTTTTTATTAGAAAAACGTTGACAATGTTCCGGTAGGAAGTAGAAAAGGTTAACAAAGTACCGGCAGGAAGTAGAAAAGGTTACTAGGTACCGGCAGGAAGTAGAAATGGTTAACAAGGTACCGGCAGGAAGTAGAAACGGTTAACAAGGTAACAGCAGGAAGTAGAAACGGTTAACAAGGTACCAGCAGGAAGTAGAAAAGGTTAACAAAGTACCGGCAGAAAGTAGAAACGGTTATCAAGGTACCGGCAGAAAGTAGAGAAGGTTAGTAAAGTACCAATAGGAAGTCGAAAAAGGTTAACAAGGTACCACAGGAAGTAGAAAAAAATTAACAAGGTACTGGCAGGAAGTAGAAAAAGGTTAACAAGGTACTGGCGGGAAGTAGAAAAAGGTTAACAAGGTAAGGGCAAGAAGTAGAATAAAGTTAACAAGGTACTGGCAGGAAGTAGAAAAAAGTTAACAAGGTACTGGCAAGAAGTAGAAAAAAGTTAACAAGGTACGGGCAGGAAGTGTCTCTCTTTTAATGGGGGGTCAGTCGAAGACACAATTGTAAGAAAGTGCTGCAGTTTTATTTGTTTCAAACTCTGATCTTAAAATATATTGCTTAGAGCTGAACCTGATCTTGAGTTTGAGGGATTGCTCAAGAGAAGACATACTCAAATTAAATACCTCTCCGGGTCCCTCATGAACCCAGGAGATCTAGAGAGAGCCCAGGTAAGATTTGAAAAACCTTATATACGTTTATAAAACTGTTATAAGTTGTTCCTAAGAGGACAAAGAGAACCTTAAATCAAATGAGTCTCCAAATTTTTTTTTTAAAAGGTCGTGTGTTACAATTCAACTAAAAATATTATATCAGTTGCAAGGACTAGATGACTGATTCACCCAGGGGGGCTGGATCTTAGCTACCTCTCCTTGTGTATGAGCCTGAGTGTACACTTGGGTAGTTTACTGATAAAGGATATTAAGAGATTATGTTATGGCCTATTCATACAGTACAAATATTAAATATATGCAGTATGCTTTCGGACTTGAGTACAAGTTTATGGGGAGGTTTTGTGTCTTGAATTTTACTCAGTTTTCTCAGAACAGTTTATTAACGACGAAATAAAAGACTAAGTGTACGTCTTCCTGTGAAAATGTAATCCTGCACACGATAAAGGAGTAGTGGATTTAATAGTTACATGGAAACAAATTCTCCATTTAAATATTTTCAGAAATCACCCCCCGGTACCGTAATATACAGATTGACGTTTGGAAGTTAAGTACATGGCCTGTACAATTAGTAAAGGATTAGCGTACATCATCACTCTGTATACTATAACCTCGTTGTATTCACATTTGTTTCCTTCAAGAAAGCATGAGACTTCCATATATTTTACTTTGAAAATTGATTATTTTTAATTGTGGTTTCTCTAATTCAGAAACAATGGTCATAATTTACTACTTTTCAAAATAGAAAAAAAATATCTTACTATATTGTGAATCGGTAATACTATAGTATATGAATAAAAATCAATAAAGCAATGCACTGAGTTTCTCAAATATTCAACGTGCTGCACTGCAGTGTAGAAGAATATTTTTATTTTAATAAACATAAAATTATTCTAAATCGGAGAATATCTATTTAAGTACTGCTGCCCCATGGACAAAATACAGGGGTGTATATTTTAATAAACATAAAATTATTCTATATGGGAGAATATCTATTTAATAACTGCTGCCCTGGACTAAATACAGGGGTGTATATTTTAATAAACATAAAAATTATTCTATATCGGAGAATATCTATTTAAGTACCGCTGCCCCATGGACAAAATACAGGGGTGTATATTTTAATAAACATAAAATTATTCTATATCGGAGAATATCTATTTAAGTACTACTCAGGGAGCAAGGAATAGAAGGGAGAGACAACTGACGCGGTTCGCCCTACCATATTATACATGCTTTGCAGACGGTACTCCATTTTATATCAAGCTGTTTGGTTTCTTTAGTAGGGCCCCACAGGAAAAATATGTATTGGCTCAATTTCTTTTTTAAATATATTAGATTCAAGTTTTTTAAGATTTTATGTTTTTAGCTTGTTGCTGCACTGCAGTGTAGAAGAATATTTTTATTTTAATAAACATAAAATTATTCTATATCGGAGAATATCTATTTAAGTACTGCTGCCCCATGGACAAAATGCAGGGGTGTATATTTTAATAAACATAAAAATTATTCTATATCGGAGAATATCTATTTAAGTACTGCTGCCCCATGGACAAAATGCAGTAAACATAAAAATTATTCTATATCGGAGAATATCTATTTAAGTACTGCTGCCCCATGGACAAAATGCAGGGGTGTATATTTTAATAAACATAAAATTATTCTATATGGGAGAATATCTATTTAATAACTGCTGCCCTGGACAAAATACAGGGGTGTATATTTTATCTAAAAATTATTTTAAAAATCATATTATTTTTCCAGAAGTTATGTATGTATTCATTGATTTGGGGAAAATGAATGAATTTGTGGATAAAAGAATGAAAAAGAATGAAAAAGAATGAAAAGGAATGAAAAAACTTGGCTTTTCATGGGGGGGGGGGGGTAATTCCCTAAAATATACAACCCTGACAAAATATAATACTGCTGACACAACTAATGGTTTATTTACGGACCAAAGGGAGTGTTAAAGAAATATTTCTCAGCTTTCAGAATTTAAACAATTTAAAATTCAAAGCTGTCGCAAAATTTGCAAACCTTTAACTACATATGAAAAGAAGCAGCAGAAGTTTTGTTGAGAATTTAGTAAAATGAGATCGAAGTCACATCTTTTCAAAAATGTTCTGGTCAGTTATATTTGTTATATTTAAAGAATGAATTGTCAAGAAATTGAATTTTTGCCACAAACTCAAATCCTTGCAACCTAAAAGTGAAAACCTTTGCTTATTCAAGCTTAGAATGTGATCGTATATGATTCTTAGTTTGAAATTTCTACGGTCTAAGACATTGGGTTGCAAAAAAATAAGTGTTACAAAATCAGTGTTTGTGGCAAAGACTCAATTTTCTTAAATCAGTTTTTCCTAATTGTCACTGATCACAAAGAGTAAGAAAATATTTGCAAACACTACCTACAAAACTCTTTTAACATTAAGCTATATATTTTGTACAAATGCAGCATCGGCTTAAACTTTAACAATCTTTATGGAAAGGGTAAAATTATTATTTTGCAAATATCAAGTTTTAAGAATTTTATTGTAGTGAAACTTAAATTTTATCAACAACTGCAGATCAATTTAATTCCTTAAAATCTTAAAGAATACCCTTGTAGATTTTAATAGCAATCCTAAAAAAAAAGATTTTCTGAGTAGATATTAAATTTGATTGATCATTATTGCTGTCCTAACAACTATTTCTCTATCTATCCTTGCTTTATTATCCTTGGTATCAACATTTCCTCTTTATAACCATCCTTACTTTATTATCCTTGGTATCAACATTTCCTCTTTATAACCATCCTTACTTTATTATCCTTGGTATTAACATTTCCTGTTTATAACCATCCTTACTTTAGTATCCTTGTAATCAACTATTCTTCTATATATAACCATCCTTACTTTAGTATCCTCGGTATCAACTTTTCCTCTTTATAACCATCCTTACTTTATTATCCTCGGTATCAACTTTTCCTCTTTATAACCATCCTTACTTTATTATCCTCGGTATCAACTTTTCCTCTTTATAACCATCCTTACTTTAGTATCCTCGGTATCAACTTTTCCTCTTTATAACCATCCTAACTTTAGTATCCTTGGTATCAACTTTTCCTCTTTATAACCATCCTTACTCCTCGGTATCAACTTTTCCTCTTTATAACCATCCTAACTTTAGTATCCTTGGTATCAACTTTTCCTCTTTATAACCATCCTTACTTTATTATCCTTGGTATCAACTTTTCCTCTATATAACCATCCTTACTTTAGTATCCTTGGTATCAACTTTTCCTCAATATATAACCATCCTTACTTTATTATCCTTGGTATCAACTATTCCTTTATATAACCATCTTGTCTCTAGTATTCTTGGTATTATTTTTTCCTCTATATAACCATCCTTACTTTATTATCATTGGAATCAACTATTTATTTATATAACCATCTTGTATCTAATATTCTTGAAATCATTTTTTTATCTATATAACCATCCTCACTTTATTATCCTTGGTATCATTTTTTCCTCTGTATTCCCATCCTTACTTTATTATTCTTGGAATCAACTATTCCTCTATATATAACCATCCTTGCTTTAATATCCTTGGTATCAGCTATTTCTAAACCATCCTTACTTTAATATCCTTGGTATCAACTATTCCTTAACCATCCTTGCTTTAATATCCTTGGTATCAACTATTCCTTAACCATCCTTGCTTTAATATCCTTGGTATCAATTATTCCTTAATCATCCTTGCTTTAATATCCTTGGAATCAACTATTCCTTAACCATCCTTGCTTTAATATCCTTGGTATCAACTATTCCTTAACCATCCTTGCTTTAATATCCTTGGAATCAACTATTCCTTAATCATCCTTGCTTTAATATCCTTGGAATCAACTATTCCTTAACCATCCTTGTTTTAATATCCTTTGAATCAACTATTCCTTAACCATCCTTGCTTTAATATCCTTGGAATCGAATCAACTATTCCTTAACCATCCTTGCTTTGATATCCTTGGAATCAACTATTTTTTCCTTTATGAAAGCATCCTTGTTTTATAATCCTTGGTATCTACAATTGGTTTTTTAAAGCAGGCATTTTGTTTATTTATTTATTTTAATTAATCTATGGTCATTATTATCTTACCTTCAAGTTTTAGTATCCTTATTATAAACTTTAACATGGATTTTTAGGATAAAAAGATAGAATTTAGTTGATATTCATATGTTTTCTTTTTAAGGTTAGAGAGGCAGAGGCATGTCTTCTTCTAGCAAACAAATATTGCCAGGTACAACAATGTTCAAAAAAATTTATTTATCTTTATAAATAAAAAAATATAAGTTTTTATTTAGCATTAAATTTAACAAAGTATTGACCGTTTGAAGTTTGTTATTTTGGATTGGTTGAAAATTAAAAATGGATAATTAAAATTTTTTTGTTTAACCTATTAAAATGTTAATTTCAATTTTCAACCAAGCCAAAATGACAAACTTTTTTTAGACAACCTGTATGCTTATAAACTTATTTTATACTACATACTCAAAATTAATTATAATCCGCCCCTTGAAGGGTTCCTCCAGCCCATTGATTGTTTCCCCCTTTCCCTTAATCGATTCGCCTGTTATTTTAAGCTCTATCTTGGTCTCATAAAGTGAATCGGTTTGGACTATATTTTGAAAACTTTTAATAAACCTTCCAAGATTGCAGAGAACTGTCATAAGTTTAAGTTTGCTGTAATTAAACTTTGCAATATTTTTAACCTAAAAAAATTAAACATGTTTTTGGATCCTTTTTTGGTTCGATTTTTCCTTTATTTTCTGTCAGGGTTTTTGGCAATTGTATGATGTAAGAAAAGCACATGTTAAGAATAATCAATTTTGAACCAATTTTTTTTTCTTACACTAAGCAAAACTTGGACCCTCTAAAAGAAAATATAGGCAAAATTTATAAATATGGCAAATTAACAATTTTATAAGGCAGAATAGAGGATGGTTAAACGGGTGGGAGGTGTAAATAAAATTTGATAAAATTTTTTGTTATTTTTAGCTTTACAGATCTAAAACTTAGTTTTTGGAGAGCCCTTAGAAATTGACTAACCTACCCCCTACCCCCCCCCCCCAGCAATACAAAAATTAAAATAGCCCAATTAGTAAAGGGTTTTATGAAACAGCCACGCATTTTTACTTCCTTCGTGTTTAGGATCCAGATGCGGAAGATGCCGCAAATATTATGAGAGTTATCTCCATTAAAAACTATTCTCATAAAGTCAGGGTTATTCTCCAGCTTATGCAATACCATAATAAGGTAAATTATCATTGAAAATAAATACAAAATTTCTTCTTATCATCATTAACCCCGCCCCAACCCCCAACCCCCCTCCCTCAAGTACTCTCATTAGAATTAATACTTTATAATACAGACGGGATGAACCTTGTTGTAGTTATGTTCACATGATTGAAATACTGATGTATTTTCTATCCTCGAAAAAAGTAATCAATTGTTCAATTATTAGTTTCTATTTTCTCATTATTCACAAAGATTTTCTTCAGATATTCTAGAATTATTATTGAAAAGACGACAATTGAAGAAATCTGCGAATAAATTCATAGAAAATGAGAAATCCAATGTAATGAAGAAAACAAAATAATTTGATTATAGCATTGATTTATTGACTAATTTCTTTTGAGAAATATGTTCCTAACCATCTAATTAGTTTACTGTATAATTTTTACTTTATTTTTCGTTGTCGTTGTTTAATAATTTTAAAAAACCGATTCTGAAAATGTATGAAAGTCGACTTTGCACTCAAACTAATTAATTATACATCGTGAAAAAGTTTTAAATGTCTCAAATGAATACTAAAGAATTTGACCACAACACTGCATACTCAGTTTAACTACCTTACATAGCCGGTCCGTCCCTTTAAACGCTTTATCTGATCAAAAATGAATAATAAATTCCTATTTATTTCTTTTAATTTCATTTCAATTTTGGTTTCTACAGAAATGATTTGCGTATTTCTGCTTCAAAGACATTGAAGTAAGCTTTTAGGTTTAAAAGTACCTTTGCGAATAAAGGGTGAATAAATATTATAGGGAAGTCCTTTAAAGACAATAGTTTAGGCATATTTGATGAATATACCGAGTTTAGTCGAATTTGATGAATATACCGAGTTTAGGCGTATTTGATGAATATACTGAGTTTATGCGTATTTGATGAATATACTGAGTTTAGGCGTATTTGATGAATATACCGAGTTGGTCCTTGGCTAATGGTGATGACGTCATTTGTCTAGCTGAACTCAAGCTTGGATTTATTGCTCAGGTAGAATTAATTATTTAATTAATTAATCAGTTAATCAATAAATTAATATGATCAATCATTCAATTACTAAAGTAGTAGTTAAAATCGTAATTTACGATAAAGCGCGGGCAATTATTAAGACTAATTATGAGTGACCCCCTGTGCAACTCTGGGTTTCCAAGCTATTGTATATTTATAATTAATTAGTTAATCAGTCAATCAATCAACAAATAAATAAAATTTATTTGTGTAGATTGTACACTGTATTATAATTATACTCTACAGAAAGGTTCCTAAAACAAAACAATTATTTAACCTAAATTAAACTTTTTAAGTTCCCACCAAATTTTAAAATGTTTTCAGAAGATATAATTCAAAAAACGTCTGTTTATATAGGACGGAAGGGTACAGAACTCATGTATTAACTCCAGAGAGGGAAATTTTTAAATATAACTAAATATAACTAAATATAACTAAATAATACTGAATATAACTAAATATAACTAAATACAACTAAATACAACTAAATATAACTAAATATAACTAAATATAACTAAATACTAAATATAACTAAATATAACTAAATATAACTAAATATAACTAAATATAACTAAATATAACTAAATATAACTAAATATAACTAAATACAACTAAATATAACTAAATATAACTTAATACTAAATCTAACTAAAATATCCTTAAATGTAAACCATTTTAATGGGAGTGCAGTAAGTATTGAGTTTGGCAGTAAAAGACAATTTGGGACAGTAATAAAAAACAAAAAACCCTGTATGCGAAAGAATTCAGTATCATGCTGCAAAATATTTGTTAAATCTTTATTCAAATCGTTCCAAAATCAAATTACATTTTTAAATTATCATGTTATTTTCTATTTTCTTATCTTAGTTTTTTTGCATTTTAGGGTTTTTTTAAGTTTTTGTATCTTAAGGTTTCAAATCTATTTAAATTTACAAAAGCAGGAAGTTGAGTAAATTTTAGAGCGTCATTTTTGTTTTCAATGTGTACACAACAAAACATTAATTCGATTAAAAATGTTACCATTTTTATACATAATATTGTATTAAAAGTTCTTTGTTTTCTGGATTAAATTTCTCTAAATAAAATACAATTTTTGCGTGTTAAATGCGCGAAATACTTCTTGTGTTCAAGAGCTCATCTTTATCCACGAATTTTTTTTAAGCAATAAACGCCAAAACGGCAGAACCGATCATCAAGCCCAAATTTTTTGATGGACACTTCAAGAAAAGTATATTATCCTTTTGATGGAACGTTCAATGTTTATCTAGAGTTGTTTGGCCCCTGGTTTCACCACCTTGATGGCAAACCTGTTCGCTATGAGGTCCGGGGACACCAACTCAGATATGGAGGTCTGGCAGAGGGACTACCTCACGGTAAATAGTATTATTATTATTGTTGTAATCATTATTATTATTTTATCATTCTCGTGTAATAAATAAAGTAATAACCCCCTTATCTTTGAAACCTGAACCTACCTGTATAAATATTTAGTTAGAATCAACTTACCGTATTATCCATATTTTCAGTCAGTTCAATCTATACCTGTACCTTGTAGATATACATATAGTTGTTGAATAAAGACTCTATTTACGGACGGTTAGAACTACCATTGCTCGGTAGAGTGTAGAGTCTGATTGCTATGTGTGTTGAAAAATACATAGTTGGACCTACCAGTGTTCGGTAGAGAGGATAGAGTTTGATAGCTTTGTGTGTGGATAGATACACACTTAGACCTACCAGGGTTCGGTAGAGGGGATAGTGTTTGATATCTTGTGTGTGGTAGATACATACTTAGACTTACCATGGTTCGGTAGAGAGGATAGTGTTTGATAGCTTTGTGTGTGGATAGATACATACTTAGACCTACCAGGGTTCGGTAGAGAGGATAGAGTTTGATATCTTGTGGGTGGATAAATACACACTTAGACCTACCAGGGTTCGGTAGAGAGGATAGAGTGCGATATCTTGTGTGTGTGGATAAATATATACTTACAGAGAAATATTGGAGTAAGGCATTTATTACGATACTATTCTTGTTCATTTGTTTGTCTCCAATAAACGTCGAAACGGTTGAACCAATCAAACCCGAATTTTTGATGGCACTCTCTCTCCACTAAACCTACAATTCATTCGGGCAGACTGCCGCAGAAGACGGTGTATGCAGTGCACAGTCACACCGAAATCTAAGTTTATAGAGGGCAATTCATATGACCCTAGGGAAGGTTTATGGCGTTCAAATTCAAAATATTGATCCTGGAAACAAAATGCACCAATTTAAACTGAAAAATCCGCGAAATTTTTTGGGCGGAAGAAGAATAGAAAATTGTGACTTGAATGGCTAAAAATTGAAAATGATATTTGGAAGTGAAGTGCCAAAGGTCTAGTTCATATATATATTTTTGGGGGCCTGTAAACATACATAAACTGGTAAAATATCTTAGAAGGTTTAGACAAATTTGAGCTTTGACCTAAATGAGACAAATCTAATTAAAGTATTTTTTTCCTCTGAGGGAACACACTTTTTTTACTCTCTACCACACCTCCATGGATACAAAACTGAAATATAATTATTTTATTTCATTTCATTAACAACCTGACATCTCCACTCTTCAGTGTCCAGTCATTAAAAGCCCAATATATCCCAACAAACATAAAACAAATCATACAAAAGTTAATAAGTAACATATTAAAGTTAAATGAGATGAAAAAAATCTATACATTAATCGTTTCTAATTTCTTACTTATTACATCATGTACTTTTTTAATGTTTGAATTTTTGTTCAAAATCGTTACTTAAACACTTCCTATTTACTGGAATAACCATAATTATTGTTTGAATTATTCATCCAAAATGTAAGTTCAAAGGATTTCATTAAACTGTAGTCAAAGGGACTTTTACGTGACAGCAATGCCCGATTTACAACGGTACCATTAAATGCTTTTTCTGATCAAGTATGAATTAGATATCAATGTTTATATATTTTACAACTGATTATTTTCAATTGTAGTTTCCATATATTGATCAGATGAAAGTTTCAAGGGTACCGTTGTGAATCGGGCATTTTCATCTATCAATACTACGCTTTCAGTCCCTTTAATTATTTACCATTTAAAAGTTTTTACACTGCAGGTAGGGATGTTAACGTTTTCATTTTTTTGTTATGAAAACGACGACGGAAAATCGAAAATGAAATCGTTAACGACGACCCTTCGTTAACTATCGTTGACGAAGAGAGGCAACCGACCTGATGGTCATCTGTACTTATCATTGAGTAGTTTTTAAGAAAATATCAAGAAGCTTTAGCTCCCTCACAACTGTTTAACTTCATGTAAGGCGACATTCAATAAAGTGGCATGATTTTGTTTTTCAAAAGCGATTGTTTTTCCAAAGTTCGTCGTTTCTTTAACGATCTTTAACGACAACCCTTCGTTAACATAATTCAATGGTTCATTACATTTTTTTTCAAAAACGATTGAAAAAAAAACAAACAAAAAACGATTCAAAAACGATTAACAACCCTAACTGCAGGTAACGAACTGAGTCCCAAAAACCTAAGAGATCCCTTTAGGAAAACTTAACTTATTATTGAATTATCATTATTATTTATTATTACATTATATTGATATATTATTATTTAGGCAGCTGAACTATGTTTTGTAAAACTAAAGCTGTTACTGTTGGCAATAGAGACAAATTCTGAGGAAGGAAACGGTACGAAATCTTATTTATCTCTAACAACAACTGTAAAAGTTTTCAAAATATTAAATGAGATTAAATCTATGTATGAATTATTCGATATAATCCTGATTTCTTCGAAAAAAATATGCAAAATTAATTTCACAGACTCACGCCAGCTTGACAGGTGTTTATATTTATAAATATATCTATCTTGTATCAACATTAAATGAATCTACAGTGGTCACCAAAAAACAATAGCATACTTTTCGTCTTCTTCATTTGTTCAGTCATGAAGTTTGTAGCTGATTTATTTCTAAAAGCGAGGCCTAAAGGCACATTTTTGTTGATGCGAATCTAAGGATCAAGCATTAATTCATATTTTTTGCAAATCTACGAATATATTTTATTCCTCTTCGATTTCCGTAGTGGTCATACCCAACAGGAATAATTTTACTTGAGGGATCAAGTATTTATCCTAAAAGGAACCCTGTCTATGCCATAAACTCCAATTTTTTAATCCCCAACATAATCCCAAACTTCTAATGTTTTTAAAGTGGTTACATTGAATATAGAGATCAAGCGTTCACGATTAACGATATTCTCTCCGCACAAAAGTTCCAATCTCTAACTATTTCCATCAATACGTCAGCTACACCAATTACAAACTTTCAAAATGTGATAATTGAAAACAAAGATGATAATAATTCCACATTTTAATGGGTCCCACTCCCGGGTGGACCAAGGTCGCAAATTTTAGAGACTATTTGTGACTAGTAGTCAGTATTATTTA